GAAGATACTTTTTTGTGAATGATCATTCTTCTTATGCTTACTCGACTCCAATAACGCTAGAAACATTCGATAATATTGCTTCCGTAGAGACTGAACTACTAAGAAACAATTTCAATTTCGTATTCCGGATTGTAGGGTTTAAAAAAGGACCTCCCATGGAAAAACTGCTTCCTTTGCATATGAATTCATTTTGAAATTACACATTGCTCAATGGTTGAACTAAAATTAACAGAAACAAGTGAACATTGAAGAGTAGGAATCATAATGATAAGGGAAACAAAAAGTTTCCAAACTTTTGACGCGCCATTACTTGAAAAAATCTTATTTCTCAAATATGATTATAGATTTTTGGAAATTATTCTTCCCGTCGTATTCTGAACTTGATTTTGTATGTAATATCTAAATTTGGGACAATTTCGTTGTGTATCGGCCGCGCTAGATCAAAAATAAAAAAGTTTCCAAACTTTTGACCGCTACTGTATGCACTAATACAAGCAATGAAATTGTTAAATAAACAAGTTCCAAGTTAACTCGTTCAGGTGCCAAGACTAGTGGCCCCAAGCAGCTTCGTAAGGCGCTAGCGCCGTTGTACGAAGCATCTGTGCTACACGTTGATCACTCTATCCCACCCTATGAATAGATTCTTCTAGACGACTTCTGCAGAGATTGTTGCTTTAAGTAACCACAAATCATCCCCATTTTGAGCAGGGGGAGGATGATTTTGTAGCACGTAGTCATAACGCGATGTCGCGCACAGTTGTTTGTGCGGCATATGATATGATGCATCTTTTTCACAGCACCCCTCATCGTCCTGCATGCGATTCGCGTCTGCAGTGTTTCTCGCGGTGAACAAACTTCTTATTTTAATTACCGCTCTGGTACGAATTCAGTAATCAAAAGCGGTTGTTTCGATTCAAAAAGACTAGGCCCTACGGCAAACTTACTCTATAGGTTTTTCTTGAAAAAATGGAAACAAGATTCTGAGCGATGTGTGAACCTACGAGGAAGGAGCGCATGCTACTGACACGAAAGAGTGAACGGACAAGCGAGACGCAAACATCCATTCGCAACCGGAGTCGATCGGATCTCCTGAGCCACTGGCGATCATACCACCCGCTCTCTGTTGCGAAGTTTCCACTACCTCCGCGACTAAGAATCGGATCTTTCAAACTTTCCACTTGGCTGATCGCTAGAAGCCTCTCTAGAGCATGCGTTGAACACGCTAAGCGCCGACGTTGCATATGGGCTGTAAGTAGTAAGCCTACATAAGCAAGCAGTGAAGCGCTATTTCATACATTATGAGGAGTTCATCTCTGGTTGAGCTCTCGGTAAGGAAATTTTGTAGAACAACATTTCTATGCTTTCTTTCAGGGTAAACTTCCCTTCGGGTTACAATTTAACAAAAGAGGAGGTCCTCAGTGAGTTGCTCGCAGTTGACACTCAGACAGTTGTTTATGCAAAAATTTCCGAGGAGTTATCACAGCTACGTCGAGGGTAAGAAAACAGAACCTTTGCTCAAGAAAATTCGGACGACACTGCTTAATTTACAGAAGCAACTACAACTATTCATACTACTTCCAACGTGATGATATTTTCAATGCACGACTTACGATAACTATCTCACCGCTTTCCACCACCACTGATTTACCACGCGAATTAATGGCTATGTATGTTTTAGCGATGTTTGTCTATGCTTCAATCCAAACCGTTCTTGCCAGAAGCTGGCGAGCTGCCGGTTATCATTCTCTTATCTCTTCTATTTTATAGACCACTAACTTGGTGTGTCAGTTTGTATTAGGTTGGCCAGATTGAAATGTCGTTTTCGATCATCAATTATTTTCATTATAAACAATAATGAAGCACATCAACCTGAACCATCTCCTTCACCTGTGTCACAGGCTCATCACCTTTCGTTACGCAAAGCATGGATGCCTACCGCGTAGAACTCTTTCTGGTTCGACTCGAAGAAGTTGGGCACTCAAATTTTGACGTCGTCGCGGTTATCGAATTGGTTTGCTGCTAAGGAGTGTTGCGCTGACCTGGGTCAGTGATAGTCGGACGGCGCCAGACCTGGGCTATATGGCGCTGGAGGTAGAACGTCCCAGCCCAACTCCTCGATTTCTTGTTGCGTGATTTTCACGACATGTGGTCTTCCGTTATGGTGCAATAGTTTTACATTGGCCGAATTCACCCCTTGACGACGCAGAGCTTGGCCCACGCGGTGGAGCTGTTATACGCAGAGTTCAGCTGTAACTGTCTGACCCACAATCAGCTCTCCATAGTAAGCCATCTTATACTGTTCCACCACACCGTAGCACGACTTTTTCTCAGTGGATGTCCGGTTTCAGAGAGGCCCTCAGCTGCCCATCAGCCGCCAACCACGGTCATCTTCTCGCGTTGTTATTGGGAAACATCTCTTTGTAAAATGCGGTCAACACGAAGTCAAGAACCTTTTTCCTCTTGAAGTTATGGAGCGAAGTTCCAGTATTGGCAACCAGTACTGCTTGCTCGCGTCGCTCAGAATAGGCCGAACCCATTTTCTATCCTGAAAGGCAGTCGCACGTAGGAACTTTTAAATTTTTCTGTTGACACAACTGAATCTCCATGCAAGTTTTGTGCGGTTTGTCGAGGACTCAATTCGTTGGCTTTCTTTATTTCTCCGTCATCTAGAGCTAGAGGTCAAAATCCACGATCTTCGTCGCCAGGTCCTTTACCTCAGTCTTGGAAGAGCTGAAACCATAGCTGAAAGTGCATCAGAGACTAAGTGTTACTGCTCAATGTTTTGCACACAATGAGTGGGATTCGTTGGCCGTTTTTCGTTGCTTGAATATATACGCTCAGACGATGATTCTCTGATCAAGTCATCTTCGAGCCGGAGATGGAAGGCTTGGTTGGCCCGGGCGACTCACGACCCAGGATTTGATCCCCGGACCGCTCGCGTGGTAAGCGCGCCACTTGTCACTACACCACTTCCGCCCTCCCAACGAA